TCGCCAGCGGGCCGCTGAGATCTACACGCACGCCCTGCCTGCTCGCGCACGCGTGTGGCCGCGGGTGTCCCCGGAGACGGAAAGCCTCCTTCGCACAGCGACAGTAAGGAAGCGTGCGACCCCCGCGGGTAGGGAGGCGGGAATGGGGAGAAGGGCTACCCGCCGCGGCTGCCATCCCACTGGCCCGGGATCCGAGTGCCACGGCGGTTGTGCTGGCTGCAGCCTCGGGTGATGGAGGCTGGTCCCTCCCCACGGTTTAGGGGGTTCCATGGGAAGAGTTTAACTCGAGGTGTGCTCAGATGCCTGGGGAGGGGCAGCGTGCATCCCAGACGGGTTGGTCTCGAGATCAGGTTTCAGCCTACCCCCTACTCCAAACCCACTCAAAGTTGAATTCCTCCCAGATCTTTGCGCCAAAATTAACTGACCTGGGAGACCCTGTAACTTTCTGACATTTGCCTAACACCCTCCTTAAAATAGTAACTATTTTGCCTGCTGGTTTTTGTAAAGAATTGCTGCCTCGATCAGTTTTTCTTCTTCCCAGATTTTCAGTGATTCCTAAGTATATTTTAAGTGTTTGTTCACGTGAGTTTTAATGAGGATCGGAGGGTGTCTGAGTTCCTGGAAATTCCCGGGAATGCTCTAGGGAAGGGGAAGTTGTGTTCACAGATGGCATTTTTGTTGTTGGAGGGGAAAATAAGTGTAAAATCGTTTCCCGATATAATTGTGTGTTCCAGATGGAGGTAAATTGTTTAACACTAAAAGACTTGATCAGCCCCAGACAGGCCAGACTAGATTTTGCCGTTGAAGATGCAGAAAACGCACAAAAGGTAAGCACATATAAATACTTGAATGTCGAACGGTGTTTTGGATGGTGATGCCTAGCTTTTGTCTTACACACAGCATTGATTGGATGACCACTATAGAAGTTTTTAAAGAACCATTGTTTCAGTTCTCCTCCCAGTCATTCAGTAGTGTTGGAAGTAGCTCTTGGAGTCAAAAATATGCTGGATACAGCAATCCAAAGTCTGTAATGCTTAGAGTTGTCAAGGGTAGTTTAGCTAATGCTTTGTGGAAATTAGACGTATTAGTTCCCTGGAACAGACTTTTGTAGTTACAAATACCAGATTTAATGTTTAAAATGCTGAGAAATACCAACTTCATCCTAGTGAACCACATACAGAGGTTTCCCCAAGAGTACAGTTTCTGCCTACCAAACAGGGCAAACGTGGCTGACCCTCACCAGCTATTCTGAAACATTTAAAGCTTTTGGCTTCTTTTATACTGAGCCCCACCCTTACTTTATCCTCTTCTGAGTATTTTTAACACATTACCAACTAAACTGGCCATAGCAATGTCTACACCGTCACTTTGGCCTGTATCTGCACAGGTGTGCAAATCAGTGCCTGTTGAAGATAGAGCAGTGAAATTTGGGCACTGTTTAAGCAACAATAGATACAACAAACCAGTTTTAGAAACCTTGACTATAAACCTATTGTAGCAACTTCCTTGGGCATTGAACCTCTCTGGATTCCAGGTGTTAGTTTTAAGTTAGCATCAACAATGACCCTGCCTGGTGGCAAAGAGCATGCCTTTATACAATATTTTTGTTAGAGAGGGAAATGTACATCGAAACTCATTGTTTTAAAAATTAGCTAAGAATATGACTTTATGAATATATTCAAAATTTTGGTTTTGGGAGTTACTTTTCTGTTTTCCTTAGTAAAATTTGGATGGTTCTGCAGAGAGAGAGAGAGAGAGAGAGAGAGAGAGAGAGAGAATGACTCCCTTCATATAGTTTGCTTCGCCGGTGTTGTTGAGGTTTCTTGTGGGGGTGCAAAGAAACCCAAAAGACCCAATAGATTGGGAAAGTGGCTAGAATATTTGAACTAGAATGAATAAGCAAGGGTTTATCTCAGAGAAGAGGCAAGAGATGAGAACAGAGTGGTTTTGTAGAGACATTGGAGGGCCCTTGTTCTCTCCCCGTTGATACATAAAGAGGCTTCCTAAGGCTGGTGTTAACATGGGGTGTATAGTCACAGAGACCTGAGTCTGATTTCCTGCTGTGCCATGAACTACCTACATGACCCCAAATAAACATTTTTAGGTTTTTCAGCAAATATTTGTGTTCCAAAGGCTAGAGATAGGGAGGTTTAATATCATCTAACCTTTCTTAGTCCATTGGTTACCTCTATAAATTGGAGCCAGTGCACCTCACCCGTTGGATTTTTGTAAAGTACCTAGTTGTATACATTCCTCGTGTACTGAATTAAAATGACAGCCCCATTGTAACTTGCCCTTTGGTTACCCTGGGAGGCTTTCAGAGACCCAGGTGGAAAAGTAGGCAACTATATTATATTCTCAGAATAGAGGAGGAAAAAATACATGCGTAAGACATCGGAAAGCTTCACAGGGTAAGATTTGAATTAAACTTTACTGGGTAAGGAAAGTCAACCTACATTAAAAGTGCTACTGGGTAGAACATTACAGGCAAAAGAAACAAGATTGGAGTCTCTGAGAATTCCAGAGTGGCTGAAAGTCAGGGAGGCAAAGCTATTCCTTCTGAAGATGCTTCTGGGGATACCTGGAGGGGATCACTGGGTCACTTTTCCCTTAGAGAACCTCTTCCTTGACACACACTGGTCCAGATCTGTGTGTACTGTGTGATGCACACATCTCCTGATCGCTCTTGGAGAAACTTGTTTTGCAAAAGAGGACTTTTTAACATTATCACCCAGCACTACTGTTCTTGGTTATGGTATAATAAACAAACTGACCAATGTCATGATTGATGGTGAGAGGAGGAAACCTGACAGTTCGGGGCAGAGAGGTGAGGGCTAAAAATGGAGCTGTTAAGAGGAGTTGGTGAAATTGCTCTTGCATGCATTGGACTTGGAGGGAATACATGCTAAGGTCCTGGAATGTGAGAGGAGGGGGACTGATAAAGGAATAGAACCATGCTGGACCTGATAGAGCATGTCTCTAATTCAGCACTCTAGAGACTGAGGCAGAAGAATTGTGAGGCTAGAATAACAGGCTCATACCACCATGAACTTTCACATGCGTTCTTTAAAGGCCATTAGCATCTTTGGGGAATAGCTAAGGAAGATGGCGGATTCAGCTTGGCATATGTTTACACCTGTGTGATACACAGACAGCAGGAAGCAGCTAATTGGCTGCGTTTATTAGAATTATTGAAAGGTTATAACCTTGGAACCAAGCTGGGAATTGTGAGCATATAGTTTGACTGTAAAGCCATGTTTATGAGATTGGGTGAACCAGTACAGAGACTGAAGAGAACTAGATGTGTAGATATGGACTCTTGTAGTTTGTAAGAGTAGAAAAGGGAGCTGGGCAGTGGTGGTGCACACCTTCAATCCCAGCATTCAGGAGGCAGAGGCAGGTGGATCTCTGGGAGTTAGAGACCAGCCTAGTCTACAGAGTGAGTTCAGCCAGGGCTGTTACACATGTTACACAGAGAAACCCTACCTAAAAAAAATGAGCAGAAAAGGGAATCAATGGAGATTGAAAAGGAGCAGTCAGAAGTATGGAGAGCTAAGAAAGAATGTGGAGTGTCTCAGATGCTCATGTCCAGATTTTATAGAGCCAAAAATCACTGCCAACCTTACTGCTTGGGTGGGGGAAGCAAGATGGCTTCAGCACCAGTTTGATGGGCAGCAGAGAGTTGACCTGAGCGAACATCATGGATTGGAAGAGCCTCATGGTTGGGGAACCTCTTGGAAGGTGACAGGAAGGAGGTCTCACTGTGGATTGCTCTTTCTAGAAAGCATGTTCTGGCAGGAAGGAGAGTTGATGGCCTGTAGCCAGGGGACACTTCCTAACATGGAGATTTTACAGTGAGTCTGACAGCAGGCGGAGTTTCACCAGGCAGAACTCTATATATGGTGTTAGGGAGGTGGTGACATTCGGAGGAAGGGCTTGGGTGTGATGGAGGGCAGTTTTGAAGAAAACCAATAGGACAATGTGTGAGCTGTAAAAAGAGGGAACTGGAGGAGACATTAGTCGGACCCCATCAAGGATCTTGGACAGCTGATGGTCATATATGTGACTTGAGATCGCATAATCAAAGCTGTGTAGAGACAAAAGCAAGTTGAGATCCGAGGACTTTTAGCCTCCAAGCCTTGTCTATGGCTATATACAGCCTGTTTCCTCATAGCCACAGTACCAGTTCTTATTAATTATAAATGGTGAACATTTGCAAAGCATTTCCCAAGGGGCAGTGTTTTACTTTATTGTTTGAGCTGATACTCACAGAGGCTTTGTGGCAGATTTATTCCCTCCTTTATACCTGAGGGCTGTGAGACCATTCCATGACTTGAATTTCTCTGGGTTCTTTGACCAAAGTGATGTCCAAGATGTTGCGGGTTAGATTTCCTGGCAAGCAGCTCTCGAGTGAGGGTGGTGTACAGGAGAGTTGTGAGTGCCCAGGATTGTAGCAGAAGAAGGGAATGGGAAGGAACAGAACTGGACAGAGCTGCAGTTGAGGCATGATGGAATTTTGAGATTACACTGTGAGACATTCAATGTAATCCCCTTGTGTAGTCCTGAGCTGGTAAAGAGACCAGATCTTTGCGTGCTGGTAGGAGTTTTACCAGTCACTGAGTTCAGTGGTGGCCTCCCAAGAAGGGGTGTGGTCCTGGGTTCATGGGCCCTTGTTAGCCAAAGCAATCCAGCCAAGGGTGTATACTGTTGGCATGGCTTCCAACAGCTGGGAGAATGACTCATTCGTTCCTGAAGAGACGTGGGTGCATCTAGTGTCTACCATACAACTAGGTACATTACTAGAAAGTCTTGACGATTAGTCTGAACCTTGTTTTTGTATATATGGAAACATGTAACTATTCTAATCCCTTTTGCTGTGTCCGGAAAGCAGTACAGGCAGGTGGCGCTGAGTGTAAATAGATCATAACTGATTTTCTTGCCTACCTGGGACCTCACAACACAATTTGCATGACATTTTTAAATTCTGATGTAAGAGGTGTTGTCTTAGGGTTTCTATTGCTGCAACAAAACCATGACAAAAAAAGGCAAGTTGAGGAGGAAAGAGTTTATTTGGCTTACACTTCCATATTGCTGTTCATCACTGAAGGAAGTTAGGACAGGAACTCAAATAGGGCAGGAACCTGGAGGCAGGAGCTGATACAGAGGCCATGGAAGAGTGCTGCTTCCTGGCTTGCTTCCCTGGGTTGCTCAGCCTGCTTTCTCATAGAACCCAGGACCAGCAGCCCAGGGATGGCACCACCCACAATGAGCTGGGCCCTCCCACGTCAATCACTAATTAAGAAAACACCTTACAGCTGGATCTTGTGGAGGCATTTTCTCAGTTGAGGTTCCCTCCTTTCAGATGACTAGTTTGTGTGTCATGCTGACCTGAGACTAGCCAGCACAGGTGGAATATAGTCCTAACCCAACCACATTACCCAGCTTCACAGAATCTCTCATATCAACTGTACATTTTTAAAAATGCATCTGTGTATGAAGAAATTATTCATTCTGAATCGCTCCCTCACTACAGAGAAACTTAACAACTCATTCCTGTTCGGACACGTACCCTGGAAACAGATTAAATTAAACAGAAAAGAGTAAATCTATCTACTCATAAGCCTAGGACACACCTTGTGCCAAGACATAATGTTCATTCAACACCGGTAATGGGCAAGTCATCATCCGGATATGATATGTGGGGCTGGCCTCCACAAGTACACACTCATTACTGGACAAAGACATACATCCAGGAAGCTAAAGAGCAATGCAGTGTGCTATATCATATTAGTGCTAAGTTCCAGGGCAAATGGGAGAGAACCGGAAAGGGGAAAAGATAATAGCTAAATTATATGGGGTGTTCACTATGCATTCGTGAACTAGTCTGAACCCTTGAGGTTGGTATTCTTATGAGCTTCCTTTTTCAGTTGAATAAATGGGAATACAGTGAGGTGAGGGGGACTTGCCCACTGGCCTGAGATCCTACATATATAACCACTATCTCATGCTGCCTCTCCAGGTTCTACTGGGTACGTTTCCCAGAACTTAGGAAAAGGTAGTTTCCTTCTGATTACACCCACGAGTTCATCTGTAGATGCCCCATTTCAGAAACTGCTCCCAGCTGCATTTTACATGCAACTTTCTTAACCTCTATACCTGAGGCTATATAAACTGGAATAAATAGTAGTACTTGTGCCGAAGGATTAGAGGTTGATGCAAGTTCAGGAAACAGGGCATGGCATGTGTTAAACACTCAGTCATTTCCTTTAAGGGTTCACTTGTAGACACCATCAGAATGGCTCACCGGCAGGGACTTGCTACTAGAACTGGGCTGCCCCTCAGGTGTGAGACCTCGTCACCTCCACCGCATCTTTCCTTCACATTCCAGCACAACAGGAGCGTCACCATAGTTAGCTGGCAGCTTCTGCTTTCCCAGTGAACAAACGTTGGGTGGCCTGTGACATAAACACCAATTTCTCTCAGTTGTCTGCCTCTATACAACAGGACAGTTTTAACCACTGATCCACAAGAATTGGTGCATACAGTACTGTAGCATGAGAAATACATGTCCATAAAAGTGTGAGGAAGAGAAGAATCTTTCTGGTTTCAAACCGCATTAAACAATGTCGGAAAGATGCTTGCTTCCGTTATTTGGTGCATCCAAATGCAGGCTCTGTGTGCTTTTTTTTTTTTTTTTTTTTTTTTTTTTTTTTTTTTTTTATCATGTGTTCCCTTTGAACCTTTACAGTTGTCCAAGGCATTATACACAAAGTATGTTGTGGGAGCAGGTGCTGCTTTGAAGATTGCAAAAGTTGAAAAAGCCAGACCTTGGCACTGAGCACTTAAAACCTTGCTAGCAATTTGATGCCGCCTTTGGGGCGTCTAAGCATATGACCCATTGGAGGTCTCACTTGTTGCAGAGGCTGTAGGTTGATTTAAGTGATGAGCTCAAATGGTAAGTCATGTGTGGAGAGAATTCCACGATAGTCCTATGAGGGAAAGTTGGCTTAGTAGTATACATGACTCAGGAAATACAAAAACAAGCAAGCAAAAAACTGGCCATTCACTGAATGGTTGGAGAAGCAGAAACACTGGTCCTGCACCGTGAATGGTTGGAGAAAGGCTACTCAGAAAACAGCAGACAGCTCTCAGGTTAGCTTACGCTGGTATTTTGCTGGCTTCTGTTCCTTTAACTTGTCCTATTAATGGTGTCTTTTGAACACTGAACTACAAAGGCAGAGCTGTTCTTACTGGTAAATGCAAACTTGTAAATAAGACTGAAAAATATGAAAATCATGGCCCTGGGGAGCAAAAAAACTGAACTTCATTTCCATCTATTATGAGCAGCTGTTGGTGACAGACACATTTGTGACTTCTCTGACCGACACTCCATGAAAAATGTGTGTAAAGGGAGTAGCAGATACAGTGGTGTCTCCTCAGAGCCGCTGTTTGATGCCCATGGAGCTCTCCGGTTTCCATTTATCCAGTCCTGATTCTTTCCAGCCTTGGACATCTGTTTGGATTGCCAAGTCTCAGTGGAGCAAACTCTGGAGTCATAGCTGACTCCTGCCCTTTCTTAACCTAGCTAAAAGTTCTCTTCTCTCTAAACAGGAAAATATATTTGTCGATCGATCAAGGATGACCCCAAAGACTCCGATGAAAAATGAACCAATTGATCTGTCAAAGCAAAGGATCTTTACCCCGGAAAGAAATCCCATTACCCCCGTAAAGCTGGTGGACAGGCAGCCGCAGGTGGAGCCATGGACGCCCACAGCCAACCTCAAAATGCTGATCAGTGCCGCCAGCCCAGACATAAGAGACCGGGAGAAGAAGAAGGAGCTGTTCAGACCCATTGAGAATAAAGAGGATGCATTCGTGAACTCCTTGCAGGTACTCATGGGGCTTCGTGAGACTTCAGAGATGTACAAGATTACTAAAAAGAAACAGGACACCTGTCAGTCAAATGCAGTGTTAATTAAGCATTGCATTGTTTTGTTCACAGCTGAATTTTCACTCAGATTCTTATTTTTCATAATTAATTTCTCTCTTCCCTTAACCAGACTACATTTTAAAAATAACATATTAGTACTTTGATTCATTAAAGAAACTTGAATTTTTTTTTCTAAGCACTGCTGTGAATTTTTAGTTTCATGAATTTTGACTAGGAAAGTTCTATTCTGTTTGCTAGTTTGGGGCTTTATTCAAGTTAGGCCAGTTTAATGTATTTCTTTAATCTGCTTGGGGCTTTTGTTGGGAAAACTCTGTTATTTTGTTGTTGGATCTGGGGTGTGTGCGTGCATTTCTGCTGTTTTGGCCACTGTTCTGTTGCTCTGAAGAGACACCATGATTAAGGCAACTCTTATGAAAGAAAGCATTTAATTGGAGGCTTGCTTTTAATTTCAGAGATTTAGTCCATTATCATCATGGTGGGGAGCAAGGCAGTATACCTGGCTCTGAAAAAAATAACTGAAAGCTACTGGCCCTCTGATCTGCTGGCCAAGAGGGAGACACCGGACCTGGTGTGGGCTTTTGAACCCTCAGAGCCCACCCCCAGGGACATGCTTCCTCCAAGAAGGCCACACCTCCTAATCATTTTCAAAAAGTGCCAGTCCCTGATAACTAAGCATTCAAAACCTTGAGACTATGGGGGCTATTCTTAATTCCCACCACCACAGCTGCTGCTGATTCAACCCAGGGCTTTATACAGGCTTTATACATTTAGGCAAACCTTCTGCCACCAAGCCACATGCCCAGCTCTCAATATAGAAGGCTCTTAGGCCATCTTTAAATTGCCTGTGACATGAAGAAGAGGAGCTGCTCAGCAAACAGCACATCCATACTGTTTTTAGAAAGATTTAACAGTAATTTTCATTCCCACTAATCTTTCTCTGAGGCCTCCCAAGAAAATGACTTCCAGAATGGAGTCTTCCCAACTATCCAACTATTTTTCCCCTTTTTTGGTGGATTTTCTTTGTTGTTGTTGTAAAATTTGCCAAAATACAGAAAATGGGGGGGGGGGGGGAAAAGGTGTCAAAATTACAACTTGAAGCTAACAGCAAAATGAGTTTAATCTGCCACATACCCCACTACGGTGGTAGAGATTCTTCTGTGTAGTTAGATGCAAATCATGCAGTTTGAAGAACAATTGGAAATTGTTCATCATTCCTCTTGTATGTCTGCTCTTTTCCTGGGCTTCCTTTCTGTATTTTGCTTGGAAAAGCACAGGAAGCCCAGCTTCAGAGACCATGAACTCAGATCACATGTAAGTGTGGCTAAGGGCATTAGCTTCTGCGTCCAGAATGCCGGAGTTGTGCTCCCAGATCTGGTTTTCCTGGGATCTACTCTTTGTCTGTTATAGGCATATGCAAGTATTCATTGTTTCCTTTTTTTATTTATTGATAAAATACAGAAAGTGACAGTCACCCAATGGGAGATGTTAATAATCTCTAACAAAGTATTGATACCTTCCTTTGGTAGAACTTATTTCAGATGTCCCTAAAACAATTCCTAACCAGACTTCATAAGATTTAATTGAGCGTTCATTACAAAGATTTATGACCTTGAGTGTCTAAAATGTGAGTGTCCCATAAATACAGGCTTTTTAATATCTTTGATAGACTGTTTTATCACATAACACACCTTTAGTATGTGATACCTTTAAGACTCAGAAGGCTTCCTCCCTGCTCCAAGCACAGAGCAGTTTTAATAATTTAAATCAAATAATGACTGCTGAATTTATCATTCTCTTGCCATCTTTAAATCACTATGTTGTATATGTATATGTATGTGCTCTTATAGACTGTTGCTTGGGCTGTTCTGTTGGGGTTTCAAGCTTTGTAAAGTTGAGACTATTATAGTATTTGCTCATCTTGTCAAGTTATTGGATGGCTTGTGACTTCTTTCCACACAACTGTTACCACCATGGTTTTCCCTCTTCTATGTGGTGCCTGGTGGTGTGTGTCCATTTGTATTGGGTTGTTTTTCTCTCTCGTAGTGGTTTCCAGGATATGGTTGTATATTGACACTAAACTGTCATCAATTGCTTGTGTCATATATATTACATTATCTTGGTTCAGTTGGTATTTGTTTTTTCCCTTTCTGTTGGTTCTCAGCTCACAAAGCTCTTATGATTAATACTGTTCTGTGTGTAGATCCTTTCTTCTTGCTTTAGGATTTTTTTCATTCTAACTTTCACTTTTTTAATGTGTGTGTGTGTGTGTGTGTGTGTGTGTGTGTGTGTGTCTGCTTCTCTGTTCGTGCACCATGTGTGTTGAGATGCCCGTGCAGATCAGAAGGGGGCCCTGTATTCCCTGGAAGTAAAGTTGCATATAGTTCTGAGCCGACACATGGATTCTGGAAACCCAATCTGGGTCCTCTAAATTTAGCCACTGAGCTCATCTCACGATCTCTTCTTTAAGGGTGATCTGGGGGCTAGAGAGATGGTTCAGTGCTTAAGAACACTTGCTCTTGCAGATGATGAGTTCAGTTCCCAGCATCCACATGGTGGCTCACAACCCTCCGTAACTCTAGTTCCAGAGGGTTGCAATGCACACATAGGCATAAGAAAATAAATATGGATGACCTTTTTGTATCGCTTTAATCTTTAGTGCCTGGTTAGAAGCTTGTTCTCCTACATTTTATTACAATTTTTTTTTATAAGTCATGAGTCCATTTGGAATTACTTTTCAAATGTAATGGGAGTCAAGAACACTGACTTCGGTGTCTGTGGGTTTCGCTGTCTGCTTTTTTTTTTTTTTTTTTTTTTTTTTTTTGGGGAGCTCTCCCTCTTTCATTTGGCAAGGTGACATCTCTCATGTCAAAGTTCCATATTTGATTTGTGTGCTTCCATTTTAAGAGCCTTTGACCATTTGCCTGTTTGAGGCCAGCACCATTTTTCAGGAAGCTTTGCCTACCGGCAACTTCATTGTATTCTTAAAATGTGTAAACTGTAAACTGTTCCTGATGTTTTCTTTCATATATGCTCCAAACTGACTGTTTTCTTTAGCTTCTTCAGAGGAAGTGTCACTGTGTAGACCTGGATGGCCTGGACTCTCCGTAGACTAGGCTGGCCTCAAACTCACGGAGATCTACCTCCCTGAGTGCTAGGGTTAAAGATGTGCACCATTATGCCTGGCTCTAGATTTGGGTTTTAATAGGAATCGTTTGACTGTGTTGATTGGAGAAGTTCACCTCTCTATGGTGCCAAGCCTCCTATCCATGAAAATGGTGCACATCTTCAATTATCAGAGGTTTCTAGTACAGTTATTCTCAGCCTTCCTAACGCTTCGATCCTGCAATTCACTTCCTTATGCTGTGCTGACCCAACCATAAAATTATTTCGTTGCTACCTCATAACTGTAATTTGCTAGTTATGAATCAATAAATACCTGATACATGGGATATCTGATATGAACCCCCTAAGGGGTTGTGACCCACAGTTTGAGAACCACTGCTCTAAAATCTTGAGTGTTTGTTAGATTTACCCTAAAAACCTCATCATCCTCATCGCTCTTATAAATACTGCCTTTTCTACTTCCTTTCTCTTGCTATGTAGGAATGCAGCTTGGTTTAAAATACCTCACCTTGTAGCTGTTTTGCTAATTCCTCTTATTTCCATAGGGTGTGTGTGTGTGTGTGTGTGTGTGTGTGTGGTATTTTTGAGTCAGGGTTTCTTTGTGTAGCTTTGTAGACTAGGCTGGCTGGCCTCGAACTGACAGAGATCTTCCTGCCTCTGCCTCCCAAGTGCTGGGATTAAAGGCATGAGCTACCACCACCCTACTTGTAGGGGGTTTTTGTTGTTCTTGTTTGTTTTTTGGGATGAGCCTTTATATTCTTTTCAAAAAGATTTTGTTTGTGCTTTTCAGTCCTTGCTTCAATTTCTTCTTTCTTGTCCTAACGTACTGACTAGGATATTTCCTACAGAAGACAGAAGAGGGCCAGTGACAATGGCCATCCTTGTTGTTTTCCTGGTTTTAAGGGAAGACTTCCAAGGTTTCTCAGCTAGCCAGAAAAAGCTGTTGATAAATTTCATGTTGCATATTTTGTGTTTTCCATGAATATGCAACATGAAATTTATCAACAGTTTTTTCTGAATCTATTGAGATAATCTTACCACTATTCTCCTGGGGTCTATTTAAAAAACCTTATCTTTCCTGTGGAGACCTAATTAAATATGGTAGAGACAAGAATGCTACCTAAGGATACTTAGAACAAAACAGGATTTGACTAATGGGCCCTTGTGGAATTTCACCAAGATTTGGCCCATTATCAAATATATGACAGACGTTTAACAGGTCACTGTACCTCATACTTTGTTGGTAATAGTCACAGAACTGTAAGAAGCAGATTGTGATGCACCAGGTCCAAGATGAGGCCTGAGATGCTACTACATCTCCAGTGCTGCCAGGTCCACCCACATGAGAGAGGCAGGGTAGAGTAACCTGTACAGGACACCATTTCTATTTTAGAATTGTAACCATGAGTTTCAGCCTCATGTTATATAAATGAGAAACAGCTTAGTCCAGAGAAAATAATAAGAAAACCAGCCTAGGAGTTGTTTTCTCTGGAATCTTGAGAGGTACGGATTGGGAACACTTTGTAACAGCTTTCTAACAACAGCAGTTAAGGCGGTAACCATGGCATCTCCCTCCCTGCTTCTGTCTGCCCTCTGTAGCTTGATGTCGTTGGTGACAGTGCTGTGGATGACTATGAGAAGCAAAGGCCGAGTAGGAAACAGAAAAGTTTAGGACTGCTGTGCCAGAAGTTCCTCGCTCGTTATCCAAGTTACCCCTTATCCACTGAGAAAACCACCATCTCCCTAGATGAAGTCGCTGTCAGTCTTGGTATGTATCACCCAATTAACTGGGGACCTGTCACCTGTGACAGTGGGAAGCCAGTTACCTTGGGTGGGCCAGAGGCATCAAGTAGTCTCCTATATTAACAGAGGGTGAGGACATGATGGTGGGGGTGGGGGAGCTGCCTCCATCAACACCAAATCTCCCTTTGGTATTCGTAGAATTCAAGGAAGCCTAATCCAAAATAAAGGTCCAAATAGAAACTCAGGCGGGGAGGGGGGGGGGTCAATCTTAAAAATGTAGGGTGCAGGACTACAGCTCAGTGATAGAGAATTTGCTGAGCATGTACAAAATGGGATTAACCACGAATACCATACATAATACCATACAAGAAAGAATGCATTTCATTGTAAAAGGCAATATGTTTATACTTATATTATGGATTAATCTCATTTCGAATTCATGTTGGGAATCTAAAAATATAAGCTGGGTCTGATGGCACATACCTATAATCCCAGTACTTGTGAGACACAAGTAGGATGACTATAAATTTGGGGCCAGCCTAGGGTACACAGTGAGACCCTGTCTCATAAAGAAAATTACAGATACCTTGCTCGTTATTCTTAATAATGCTTCCAAGAGTTTGGAAACTAGTGTCATTTCTTATATAAAGCAAAAAAATCACAAGTAAGAACACAATGCTTGAAGCCCTGGGCCACCGTCTTCACAGCAGGCCTTTCAGGACAGAAAACCCACAGCTGGACATAACTCAAACATCCTGGCTTCTTAACAAAGAAGAATGCATATGTTCACGTGGCCGGCGTATGTGTAACCTGTGACGCCTGCACAGCTGCAAATACCTACACAGTCACTTTGGATGAGAGACCCCTGGTGGACAGGGGCTGTATTTCAGGATGGTTGAACTGTTGACAGTCATTGACTAGAAATGACTCTCATCTGGAGGTATATAGGGGTATCCACTTAATAAACAAGGGAGCTTTCCGTATGGGGGAAGTATCTGAAGGGATAAGATAAATGAGCGATTAATAGTTTGTGTTTCATAGCTGTCTGTCTTCCATAGCCCCGAGAAACATCCAAGAGTAGTGGGCTGTCAGTCTGAGTCACCCAGGCTGAGAGCTGAGAAGGTTCTGGCTTTTGAAAACTGAGATGGTGAAGAGGCAGTGGGTTCTGATGGAAAGACAATGGGCTAAGGCTGTGAGTCACACAGGGCCAGGCTCTGAACTTCCCCAGCTTGTAAGAACTTTGAGAAGTTATTAACCCTTTCTTGACTATAACATAAACTGCCGAGACGTAACAGAGTTGAGCTGATTGTGACTAATATGTTTAACTGAGTCCTAGCAGGGTTCCTGGGAAATGGTCTGGCAGAAAACGGGGGTTAACTACCAGATCATCCAGTGTCCTCATTAGGGATCATGAAGTCTTTCCCCAACCCCAGCTCCATGCAATATATTCAGCTTCCGTGTGGAGGCTCTGTGCTGGTGTTAAAGTGAAACACAAAGATGAGATGTTTAGGGGGGAACTTACAGTCCCAGGGAGGATAAAAGAGGGGACTATTACTCATGGGACCTGCAAACAAGCCATGTCATAGCTTCCTGGAGCTGAACCTCAGAGATTTTCACAACAGCCTCCCAATGCCCCGGGACAACACAGACCTGCTGAGTCAAATGTGCTGCCATCTCTTCTCATGTGAGGTTGAAAGCTAGTGTCCCTCCCTAGAGCTTGTTTCCTCGATGACCATCTCCTGGCCTTGAGTCTGAACCCCTTGCTCCCTAATTTAAAAGGCCAAATATGTGCAGAGTTTCAAGCTGCGGTTTCCAGAGTCTGTTGCGATGCAGATCTGACTCTGGTGTTAATGAACAAGCATTTAAAGACTTGGGAACAACTTTGGTGAGCAGAAAACAGAACAGTGCTTGATTCTGAGCTGAGTAATGGTCTCTCGGTCAGTGCCTAAGGAAGTAGACAAGAAAAAATGGTGGTCATCATCAGGTTACTACTGTATGATTAACCATCACAGAACGTAAAATAGACTGTCACTTCATTTGGTCATTATGTCCTTGGATGTACAACTGGGACCATCAGTAGATTGAGTAAGACCACCTCAGCACAAAAGCAAAAGAAGGCATAGTACCAGGGTAAACCTCCCTCCCAGGAAGCCACAGAGGAGCCTACAGGTCTTGAGACCTGTGAATGGAACTTTAGGAGCACAGCCCCCTAAACAGCAAAACTTGGGCATGACTGAAATGGTGAGTGATAAAGCTGGTAAGGGGCTGCCACATTTGGTGTTTACCAAAACAACCTACTAAGTGCCCATTTGCACATTCTTACTCTCAAAGCAGTGCCTCCCATTTTCCTGTCTTGTGATGCCTGGCCACCAGGTGGAGACCAAACAACTTATTATCATGCACAAAATAGCACAACAGGCAGGCATATGGCCAGCCCCAGGGTGTCTCAGTTGCATTCACATGACATTTCTAATGGGAAGGTTTGGGGATGGTGCAGGCTAAACCGGATGTGTTAATATGTAGGAACAGGCTGGAGTAAAGATCCAGTCAGCTCTAGACAAGAGGCTGCTGCCAGTGCCTTCCAGCAGGCAGTTGGCACCAAGCCTGGGTTGGGGGACAGGCCAGTCAGGGTCATGAGTGGAAATGTTCTGACTGACTTTTCATGTGTGTGGTGAAGCTTTTCCTCAGCCCAGAGTTGCCTTTGTTATTTGGTGTCTGTCTTATATCTCTGAAGAGCCCAAAATTACCCTTGCTGAGTCTGTTTCTGGAAAAACGAGACAAATGGTGCATCTTTATAGCCAGTCTGGGTTTTCTGCTAAAGTGCCTGAAGGCTTCAGCATAGATACTCAGATGAGAGCAAAGGCAACAGCAGGCCTGGGGCCTGTTACACAACAGTGAGTCATGGACCAGAGATGTTTAAAATCTGTTTCTACTGTGACTCTGTGTGTTAGTGGGGATTCTAGGTAGCTCCAAACTGTGGTGATAATCTTGTTTGAATAACAAATAAAGTTTGCCTGAAGATCAGAGGGCAGATCTAACCATAGACTCTAGTCTACAGAACAAGTTCCAGAACAGGCTCCAAAGCTACACAGAGAAACCCCAACATACCCAAAAAAAATACTGGCACACTCTGATCTTCAAGCAAGCTTTATTATACAAGCAAGATAGCACCACACCAAACCATGCAAATATTTAGATAAAATTAAAATTAACAGCTGTTGAGGACCCAGCCCTTTTATGCTCAAACTTAATTATTTTATAAGGTAGGTGCTACACTGTGAAGAGGTTAAGTAACTTCCTAGGGTGGACCACTTATAAGGGGTAGATTGAGGATGCATGTCCAGACACTCTGATTCAAGAGCCTTCCATGCTTAACCAGCATACTCACTTTCAGTAATTAGAAGAAAAATCCTGCAGCGAAGCGGGCGGTGAATTTCATGGAAAGCCTATACGATATTTAGTCCTTTGCTGTTGGCTGGCTAATTAGCAGATGGTGAATGAGAGAGCAAGGAGAGTTACTACAAGCCATGGCAAATAGAGGACTCGTGTTCTTCCAGCAACATGAGAAGGGAACCCAAAGCCCTTGAGTCTGCCCTTGCCCGTTCCAAAAGGGAGGCAATATTTGCCATCCATTTTCCTTACCATACTGTTCAGAGAGTTAGTATATTCATTTTCTGTTATATCATTCAAACCCCCACAAATGGACAGGGCTGTCCAGTGATGAGGTGACAGTCCATCCTATTTAAATCCCCAAGAAAGGACAGGACTGTCCAGTGATTCTATAGTTTCGTGATGGTTAATCTTTGCCATCAAGCCAGGCATTGGTGACGCAGGTGGATCTCTGTGAGTTCTAGGGCAACCTGGTCTACAGAGCGAGTTCCAGGACAACCTCCAAAGCAATACAGAGAAACCCTGTTTCGAAAATAAATAAATAAATAAAAACTCTTTGCCGTCAATGTGATGACGGGATTTAGGCTCATCACAGGAATGCACCTCTGGGTGAGCCTACGAGAGTGTTTCCAGAAAGATCTGACTGAGCAGGGAAGACCCATCCAGAATGTGGCAGCACAGTCCCACAGGGTAGGGTCCCCAAATGACTAAACTGAGAAGGCTGGACAAGCTGAATACCAGTTTTGTCTCCTTCTGCTTCCTGACTATAGGTGCAGCCTCTGCCTCTCATCCTGCCACTGTGATTTCTTCACCATGATGGACTGACTCCCCCACTTATGAGTCAGAATCATTTTCTGTTACATCATTCAAACCCCCACAAATGGACAGGGCTGTCCAGTGATGAGGTGACAGTCCATCCTATTTATCACTGGACATGTCCTGTCCTTTCTTGGGGATTTAAATAGGATGGACTGTCACTTCATCACTGGACAGCCCTGTCCATTTGTGGGGGTTTGAATGATGTAACAGAAAATGAATATACTAACTCTCTGAACAGTATGGTAAGGAAAATGGATGGCAAATATTGCCTCCCTTTTGGAACGGGCAAGGGCAGACTCAAGGGCTTTGGGTTCCCTTCTCATGTTGCTGGAAGAACACGAGTCCTCTATTTGCCATGGCTTGTAGTAACTCTCCTTGCTCTCTCATTCACCATCTGCTAATTAGCCAGCCAACAGCAAAGGACTAAATATCGTATAGGCTTTCCATGAAATTCACCGCCCGCTTCGCTGCAGGATTTTTCTTCTAATTACTGAAAGTGAGTATGCTGGTTAAGCATGGAAGGCTCTTGAATCAGAGTGTCTGGACATGCATCCTCAATCTACCCCTTATAAGTGGTCCACCCTAGGAAGTTACTTAACCTCTTCACAGTGTAGCACCTACCTTATAAAATAATTAAGTTTGAGCATAAAAGGGCTGGGTCCTCAACATATACTAACTCCCTTCCTTACAGTGCCTTTGTCAAATATTTTGTCACAGCAATGATACAAGGAACTAATGCAAGTCCACCAATTAGAATGCAGGTCACTAACAGCCAGCCGGGTTCAGTAGGCATGCTACTGCAACACTGGCATGCCGCCATAATGCACATAATGCACATGTGGCTGATTAACAGGTCTGAGGCACAGGTGCTGTGTTGTCAGGGCCACACAGACGGTAGTCTGGCTATCTCAAGAGGATGTTACCCTAGTTGTGTTTGAAGGTTGGGTTCCAAGAAGAAAACACAGGGCCTGTTTGAATCTTCCTCAGATGGCCTTAGTCATTATCCACAGTTGATGGGCATCAACTTAGACATCAAATAGTTCACAGAAGTGTCCCAGGCCCTTAGGAGTGGCTACACAGAAATGTCCACTGGTGTGATGTCTTTTTGGCTTCTCCTTTGCAAACAGGTGTGGAAAGGAGACGCATCTATGACATCGTCAATGTGCTGGAATCACTGCATCTGGTCAGCCGGGTGGCTAAGAATCAGTATGGTTGGCACGGTCGGCACAGCCTGCCCAAAACCCTGAGGACACTCCAGAGACTGGGAGAGGAGCAGAAATACGAAGAGCAGATGGCCTGCCTCCAACAGAAGGAGCTGGACTTGGTAGAATATAGGTTCGGAGAACGCAGGAAAGATGGCTCCCCGGATTGCCAAGAGCAACACCTACTCGATTTTTCTGAATCCGACTACCCGTCCTGTGAGTCCATTATAAACTTCGTGAATAATGGCAAAGGGAGTAGCAGTCTCTTAAACTGACCACTAAGATTCGAAGTGCCAGTTTGACAGCCCTGGGGGGAGTGGGAGATACACTCTTTTTCTGAAGAAAGGCAGAGGGCTCCCAGCCAAGCTGCCCACTCCTCCCTACTGTGGCAGTTCCCCTCCTGGTCAGAATACGTAAGCCATAGAAACCAATAGCCACATACCGTTTGCCTCTGAGACCTCACACTGAAGACATTTTCTTCTCAAAGCATTCAATTTCTTGTTAGAATGAACTGCCAAGAAAAGCAGCCCCCGTGGCTGAGTCTGTTAAGAAAGATAGACAATCCTTGCTTCCCTTTGGTGCCATTTAAGTTTGGGGGTTTTTTGGGGGGGGTTGTTTTTTGTTTTTTAGTTTTGTGTCTTCACTGTTCTTTCTTTGCCCCAACTTCTGTGGCTCTGCATCTCACTGTAAACAGTGATGCCCATCAGTACCATGTCCCCCTGTTGTGAGCATGTCACATCCATGCTACTTGCACTACTGGACACCAAAGGAAAGGTCAAATGATTTTCTTCAGGGCACAGCTTTGTACTTAGTTCCACCCCATGAATGAGGAAGTACTTACCCATCTAACCTCTAACCAGAGGAGACAGTCATCTACTGGGGTTCTCTACACGGATAATCAGGGTCCTGTTTGTATAAATGCAGGCCCTACTCTGTGAGGGTACCTCCTAGACACTGTGATAACAGAGACGAGTGGGAGACCCTACCTCAACAAGTAAGATGGAAAAGCCATTGGAGAAGTATGACATGTCAACCTCTGGGCCCCACACGCATGCACAAACACCCACTCCATGCCAGCATATATGCCCAGACATGTATGTGAACGTGTACACACACAACTCATAACTGGAGTTCTTGCTTTTTGAGAAGAGAGTTGGTATTCCAAAAACAACTCCTGATTCTTACCCCTCTCCTTTTATCTGTCTGCATTAATCTCTTCAAAGAGTTGCTTAAGGAAAACTGCCATGTGGCTTCTATTATGTGATATAAGTATGAAGTGTTAAGAGCAGTTGAAAATCAGTCATTTTATGAGATGCGGGGAAATCCTTCCGATTTCTTTACGAGCTTATTTTTGTGATGTGCTTCCAGTGGGCTTCTGCCTATTACCGGATGGTCCCTCCATATGCTGGTGCTGTGAGGTAGCTCTGGGAAACTTCGAGCAAAAGTCTTTCTTGTGGTAAGTCCTCATTTTGATGATTTTTTAATTTTCTTCCCCTTTTCAGCCTCTGCAAATAGCCGGAAAGATAAATCTCTAAGAATTATGAGCCAGAAGTTTGTCATGCTGTTCCTTGTCTCCAAAACCAAGATTGTTACCCTGGACGTGGCTGCCAAAATCCTCATAGAAGAAAGCCAAGACACCCCCGACCACAGTAAATTCAAAAGTAAGAGCCTTCACCTAATCCATATATCAGCATAAAAGGGGCAGGACTGCTGACTTGGCTCCCTGCCTCTGAAATGAATATATCCAGAGAGGGGCTTTATTGATGGTGGTGGTTTTGGAAAAATGTGTTCCTGTGCTCATAAAAGCCCTGGTGCTATAAGCAGTCAATAAGCTCATACCCACCACCATCCCTTTTCCTCCCCGGGTACAGTGGGCAGGGCGAGGCAGAAGCTCCTGAGAGCCCAGGCCCCAGGAGGGTATGGTCCATTTGCATTTCTCTTTGGCGATGCTTCCAAGACAGAATGCCTGAGTCTTCTTTCCCCTTTTCTCCCTATCCCCCGCCTACTTCCCTGAAGGGTGGAGATGAAAGTTTCCTACAGGTAAGCACCCGAGGAATGGCCAGGGTTGGGGGAGGGGGAGGGGGCCAGGCTCAGAAGGGAGAGAGTCTCTGGGTATCACACACACCCTTGCACCTTCCTTTCCCTTAGAGCTTAGCTGCAGGGTCCGTGCCCTCTGTCCTCGTGAGGAGCTAAGAGCTCATCATTCCCAAGTTGTGTTTTGTTTTGGGCCGTGATAATAATCATCCTTCACGTACAATGGTTAAGATAAATCCCAGCCCTGGCCTTGGCCCTGACATCAAGTGTGGACAGCTGACCCCTCTTCAGTTCTTGAATAGAAAAGCAGGCAGGCAGGCCATCTTGTCCTGTTCTTTAACAGGACACTTGAGTTACCGCCCCCTTTCATACATCCATTTTCCAAAGTTTCTCCAAAGTGCTTTTTTAATGCAGGCCACACCCTCATGCTCCTCCCCCTTGGCCAGGGTTTCAGGTGAGCAGCTATTCCTTTTCAAAATGGTACCTCATGACCTTGAATCTTCAGCGTCCTGTATACCAAGAGTGTGGTTTCATGGGGACCTTGGGGAAGCCCTGTCATTGTCACAGGCCAGCTGCCTGTGAGGCAGATGCCACCACCTCTTGCTGGGGGACGTGCAGGGCAATCTTGTTGGCCACATACCAGAGTTATATTCCCTAAGCCTTTAATTACAGCCTGTTTCCCCCTGCATATTTGCTATTGTGGAGCCCCTTGCCTGTCAGCAGAGGACTGTTACACAAGATGCGAAGTTGTGCGAAGGGAAGGACAATGTGTCCTTCCCTAATATCTGTGTGTCTGCAGATGCTTTGGGTGCATAAATCTCCTGTGATATCATGACAGAGCCACCCGTCCTCTGGAAGTTTATGTGGTAGCTGAGGAATGTTCCCTGTCACACAAACCGAAACACAGTAGCATTACACACAGCATGACCATAGTTGTGTTTTATATCTTCAAGCAAAGGTACGACGGCTCTATGACATAGCCAATGTTCTGACCAGCTTGGCTCTGATAAAGAAGGTGCACCTCACAGAAGAGCGAGGCCGCAAACCAGCCTTCAAGTGGATCGGGCCTGTGGACTTCAGCTCCATTGGTAAGGAGATACGATTTTGCCTCAAACCTACTGTAGAATGCCTTAATTATACATCTAGCCAGCAAAATTGGCCTTTTCCTATTCTCTATGCCACACTGAACATTTGACTAATGACGTCACTCTTGGAACAATAGTTACTATGCAGAAAACGTAGGTGCTGGTTGTCTCATACACATCAGGAAGGAAAATACTAGAAGACCGTGGGTTTATGTAACTGTTAAAGTACACTTATTTGGGAGTTTTTATTTTGTTCTGGAACTTTTTCCTGAAAGTTTAAGACTAAGACTTTAAAGTGACACTTCTGAACTTGGGTTATTTCTGCAGCAGCAAAATAAACCATGTTTTTTCAGGGAACTCCCACATAACATTTAAAAACTACAATCAGTTACTCACAAAGCTAGCATGACATAAGGTAGCTTCTAACCCTAGTGGGGACATATTGAATGCCTTTTATGTAATTTAGTTAAAAGGTTAAACATACCAGGATTTTGCTAAACCATGGTGAAAGGTATCGTCCTGTGCTTCTTTCACAGTTAACACACGTGCAGTCACGTGTGTCTTCTGTGCAAGGGACTTTACATGCAGCCACACTGCCTGTGCACCAACCATTCAAATTATTTCTAAATTACTTTCAGTGTGGGCATAGTGGCATAACTAGGACTTATAAAAGATACAGCTCTCTGCCTCCCTGGCGACACATTAAGACCTAGATAAAAACTCCTTAAAATCAATTGTAACTACTGAGTGTAGACTACAGGCCATTTACTTCATGCCAAGAGAGATTCAAGCTATGTGTGGGGCAGCCCCTGCCTACACAAAATGTGGGGTTTTTGTTTTGTTTTGTTTTTTGCTTCTGTACCTTTGGCTTCTCTTCGCCTGTGATGGCTTCTCCTTGTCAGCATTAAAAATAGTCATCCCTTGCTTAGTGGCGGGCATGCATTCTGAGATGTATGCCATTAAGACATAGTTGATCATTATGTGAATATAACAGAGTCTACCTACGCAAAGACAACCAAAAGGTCACTAGACAATGGAATTGTATGGGAGCAGTGTTACATAATCTCTATACCTGACTCAGACATCCTTCTGTGACATGTGGTTCTGTAGTCTCGGCTCAAATACCAACCCCATGATGTTTTCCCTGGCCACTTAGAGTAAACGGTGTCTCAGCTGGGCAGCTACAGTTTGGAAAACGGTATCATGGGATAAGCCTTGCCCTATACATCCAAAGGCAGATCTGTCCTTTGTGTCACTCATGCCTTCCATCAACGTTGTAGAATTAGCACTGGTTGGGAAGTTAGAAAGCAATCGAGTTCTAGATGGGGTGGTAAAGACAAGTAAAGACCTGGTGGAGTCAATTTTGGAATATCTGAAGAACAGCACATTTAGGAATAAATCTGGTCTGTGTGGAGGAGTTTAGCCATGCTGGTTTAAGTGGAAAGCATGAGGTAGAAAATGAGGTAAAATACAAGGAGCTGGGAACACGCTTTTGGACGGCCTCTAAGATTGAACCAAGAAATTCATGATGACTGTAACAGAGGCAACAAGGAGCTTCTAAACAGAGATTATAGGAGAAAAATGACTCCAGTGTAGTGGTACCGCTGAACAGATGCATAGTAGAGACATGGGCTTCTGTGAAAAGCCAAGGAGTTCAGATTTGTGTACAGCCCGTGAGACCACGATGCTAGAACTCTGTTCCAGTGCAGGAAGGATGACGTGCAGGCAGATCAGAAATTGCAAATTGAACCTTCCAGCAGCCTATATTATTTCTTCTCTATTCTCCAGCTCTGTTGCTGACGCTATGGTCAATGCAGTAGCCACATTTAGAAATCCCTTGATTTCCTCTTCGCCCCTTTAAGGTTCTCATATTTCAGCTTCTTAACTGTCTCCCTCTTCTTTCTCAGCAGCACAGCAGTTTATTTTTTGTGGGCGCTTCCTTTTTAATTTTATTGTAGTATCAATGGGATGCAGTGAATAGCACAGTTGCAATTTGATGAGTTTTGTATATGTAACTTGGGTTAAATAATGACTGTAATGAGGATTGCTTCCTCACAGTGTCCCGTCCTTCATTTCCTCCCTGCTTGCTCATCCCTAGATGACTGTCCCTCTGCTTCTGCCACTGTAGATCTGTGTAGATAATCCTAGAATTAGAAGTGAATCATATAAAATTGACCTTCATTATTCATGGATCCCATATTTGTCAATACTCGTGCCCACTAAAATTTATTTACAAACTCTAAAATGAGTACATTTACATATATGCAAAACAGCAACAACAAAAAAGGGGTGGGGGACTAAGTTTCCCAGTGGATGCATTCCTGGATGTGGCTGTACAGGGGGTTTCCTGTTTCAGTTTCACCATCTGTAGTTATCATGTGTTTACATGACTCTACTTTTTGTTAGTGATTCTGCTCCTTAAAATGGCTCCCTAGAGTGACATCCACAAGATGGCAGACTGTAGATACCTGGTGTGCTTCCTCTCTCAACAAAGAATCAAAACAAGGAAAAGTGGAAGCAACAGCAACCTCCCTAGAGTACAGTGAGGTCACAAGTGTAGAGGGCACAGAGGGACATCACAATATAGCAAACATGCTTCTGGACTGGCAGTGTGTTGTCACGTGCTCTGTGGCATTGGCCCCTGAGACACCCACATGTTGCAGATGCTGATTACAACCGAAGGAGTTGCATGAACACTGCACTAACACATCTACTGGAACCTAAGGCAAACAGCCTGTGGGTACACCACCATTGGATGAATTGCCAGGAAAGTCTGTCAAAGCCACCCTGTAAAACTGGTAGTCAGTGGTTCTGCTAGCTGGACAGGCATCCAGGTCAACATACAAGCAACATTTTAAAACTTTAATGGAACCAAAACATACTGACTCCAGCAATGAACTCCAAAGAAAAGGAACTTACCTGACAGAATTCAAAAGTATAATTCCAAGAAATGTGATGAGTTATGAAAGTTTGTAGATGACTCAATGGAATTAGGAAACTAGATTATATAAGAAAGTTAGCAAGATGTTGGAGATCAAGTGAAAATCAAAGAGAAAGCTTGGAACCAAATAACACACACACACAAAAAGTCAAGAGGCTCAGTAGCAGCATAGATTACACAAAAGAATTCTAAGCAGGCAGGCAGATCTCTGTGAGTTCGAGGCCAGCCTGGTCTACAGAATGAGTGCCAGGACAGGTTCCAAAGCTACACAGAGAAACTCTGTCTCAAAAAAAATGAATTCTGAACTTGACATTCTTTGGACAGGACAGGTTAAAAGAAACAAAGGGAAAAAAAGAAAAAGAAAAACTGAACGCCTTTGAGACTTACTCAACCATAAGTAAGCAAGCATTCATATGGTGGTGTTCTGGAAGGGGAGGGACAGGAAAGAGCCTGAGAAACCAACAATGATGTAGAACTGCTATAAAAGCCATCGAGTCCTGGGTATGATACAGAAATCCAATCTCAAGAAGCACCCAGGCTCGCACATGTATACACACACACACACACACACACACACACACACACACACACACACACACACACACACGCACACAAGAAAAAAGAAAATCTAAGAGATGGGACACCAGAAACATTCCCATTGCTCCAGCAGACCCCTCAACCAGGACCTTACACCAGGAGAGGATGAGGTGATATATTTAGAATCCCCAAAGAGGAAGTGGACAGATGGCTCATTAAGTGGGTAAGAGACCTGCACAACTGTGAGAACCAACACTTCCATAACTAGCCCCACTTAAACTCTGAGGACTTCAGATGTTTCTGGCATCTACTCTCACAAGTTGCTCACCTACACTAATGTGGACAGCTAATCGTATAATTTCTTTTAATCCTGAAAGGGGAAAAACTGTTATACATTTAAAAAAAAAAAAAATGAGAAGTCATACTGGGTAGTGATGGTGCAAGCCCATTAATCCCAGCACTGGGGAGGCAGAGGTAGGGGGATCTCTGTGAGTTCGAGGCCAGCCTGGTCTCCAGAGCGAGTGCCAGGATAAGCTCGAAAGCTACACAGAGAAACCCTGTCTCCAAAAAAGAAAGAAAAGAAAAGAAAGACTCAAGTTGTATTGATATGGCAAACCAAACCTCAAAGACAAAGAGGGAGATGCCCAGAAAAGAATGAACAAAATGATGAGGATAAATTATTTGTGATGACAGGGGATGTACATTAAAATGGACATACTGACAAAATGATGAGCCGTCTACAAAGTAAAGGAGTAACAAAAATATATCATGCAGATGGAAACTGAAATAAGCAGTGACTGTATTTATATCAGATAAAATAGGCTTAAATATTAAAAGGAAACATTAGGCATTTAATAGCAAAAGGATCAATTCAACCAGGAATTTTGGTTGTGTTTATGTATGCATCCAGCACTGAAGCACCCAAGTATACAAAGCCAGCATTCCTAGATGTCAGAGGAGAGATGGGCTGTAATGCTGTCACAGGAGTGGCTGGCTTTAAGCCCAGCACTTGAGAGGTAGAGACAGGTGATCTCTTTGAGTTGTAGGTCAGCCTGTCTACATATTGTATTACAGGACCGAAGTCAGGACTACAATAGAGACTGAAAACAAAATGGAGGGAATAAAAGTTTTTAGAGCTACAGAAGACCCACACACACACACACACACACACACACACACACACACACACAAAGAGCTAGAGCAAGTCTGGGCCAGAAACAGTAAACCAGAAGCATCATATAGTACTTGACTCCAGAACATTCTACAGAGTAGAGCATCCAAACCAAATGATGCTGACAAAGAGGCAAACCACGAAATAAGTCCTCTTTACAGCCAACTGATTTGTGACAAGAACATTCACTGAAGAAACTCTTCCATAAATAGTGCCAAGAAAATGGTAACATTTTCATGAGATACTGGAGCCCTGTCTCACTAAAAAAATAAAATAAAAAACAAGTATATGATTGCTTAATTTGGACAAGATTTTTAAAAATATAATCTCAAAAGCATAGTCAACAAATACCATCGGAAAATAAGATTATGTCAAACTAAAAAGCCTCTATACAGCCAAGGAAACAACAGTGAAGAAACACCCCACAGAATGGGGAGATATGGTTATAAACTATCTGACAAGGAAATAATTTTCAAAGTATAAAATAAAACAACTCACTAGGAAGGTGGGCTGAGTAAAAATGGTTCTGCAAACTGAAATGGACATTTCTCAAGTGTATAAAATCCAAGTGCCCACCAAGCATGAGAAAATGCTCAATGTTATTGGTCACAAGGGGATGGAAATCAAAAGAAATCCTCAGGGAAATGTCTCATTCCAGTTAAATGACTGTTTATCAAAAAGACCAAACACGAACACTTTAGATACAGAGAAAGGGGGAGCCGTATCATTGCTAGGACTGCAAAGTAATAACTACTTTGTAATGTTTGCAATAGTGGGGAGCAATATAGAGTTTTCTCAGAAATGAGAGCTGAAGCTACCGTGTGATGCGGAAATCCTACTAGTAGCCAAGGGAGCTGAGATCAGTGTGTGGAGGGGTTGTCTGCACTCTCACAGCTGTTGCAGCACTATTCACTGTAGGGGGAAATGCTGACCACACCCACTTGGGGGCTGGCACTTGGGCATGGTCAGAGTGATGTAGCAAGGCTTTAAATATGAGGGACACACATCCCTGGTTGTACAGGACTGGCTCCATCACGTGAGTACTACCTAATAAACCATCTGTTTTCAAACTAGTTTTGACTCCATGGCAATCCGCATTAATTGTGTTCCACTTTAATTCACCATGGCCAAGATGTGGGATCTACCTAAGTATCAGCAGCAGATGAATAGAGAAAACGTAGCCTATTTGAACAGAAGGCTGGACCACTTCCCATTGCCAATGCAACATTGTGTTTTAGTGCTTTCAACAATGCCCCTGCAGTGATGATGTCCTCCTCTTGTCCCTGCCCTATGTGAGCTGCAGGAGGTTCTTCTCCCTGGCCCAACACTTCCAACACACACAACACACACACACCGTGCTTCTTTCCCTCACCTTTCATAGCGTTCCGATTCCTCATTCTGCAGAGTGCTCTGGGGAGCACTTTGCAAGCCCCCAGCTTCCTGTCTATCCACTTGTCCTCTCCAGTGTTCTGCCTTGTGAACTCTAGCTGCCACCGTGCTGTAGTCCTCCCAGCTGCGCCCTCAACTTGGGGAGACTATTGAGTTCCTGCACCCAACCTAGAAACATCCTTCTGGCAGTAGTTTAGGACAGTCTAAGGTTGCTTAATTTTATTTCTGCTCTAAAGGGTACACTGTCTTCCCAGATCTGGTGCCTAGCATTCTGAGCCACGGGTATATACATTTCAGCTCAGAGTTTTATTTGATTCAGGAGAGCCAGCAAATGTGGTCCCTGGGACTGACTTGACCTACTTTTTCTTGTTTTTATTTTATACTTCTGATTTTATCAAAGGAACATATATTGGGCTTTTGTTACATGAGAGTGAAAGCCATAAAGATTTTTTGGTTCAGTTTTAAAGTGGCATTAGGTCAAAGTGCATTTTCTAAAAGTCTAGGTGGACTTTTCGGCATGTCAAATCAGATTTATAATTAAAATCTGTATGCCTTGAGCTGAGAAGAAATAAGCACAAACAAACAAGGCAGGAACAATGGTCCGGATCTTGGGGGTGGCTGCCTGAGCTACAGACATTTCCATCTTGACTTCACACTGATACCTTGAAGCATAAAATTGTTTCAGGCGCAACCTGTTCTCACTGTTCATCACTTCAGCCCTGATGTCTGCTGACCTAATTCCTTGGTCACTTGGTAACCAAGCCTCTACCTGTGCAAGAAAGAAATAATAAAGCAAAATAGGAAACGAGATTATTCTCTGCATTGCGAGATTATTCTCTGCATTGCCCTGGAGCTTCGGAGTAAGAGGCTGATCACAATTCATCTTGAAAGTGGATCTCAAACTATGCATGCAGAGCTGAACATGGGCAGGTTTCCTTTGCTGTAGGGCCCTAACCGAGCATTAAAATGTTGGGTCTGTTCTAATTCAGGTTGAAGAACATCTTGCTCCAATTTGGTTGCAGTTGAGATAATTTTAGGATACATATGGGTTCATTCTCACTTTATAGTTAGCCATTTTTCTTTTTTCCAGTACATGGAAAGAAACTGGGGTTTGAGATAGCTCATAAAATTGTCTCAGGTTTTTTGTTTTGTTTTGTTTTTTTAATTATAGGGTAACTCCATTTCAATTATAAGTTCAAAGCCACCTCTTTTATTTTTTATTTTTTATTTTTATTTCATGTGCATTGGTGTTTTGCCTGCATGTATGTCTGTATGGAGATGTCAGATACCCTGGAACTGGAGTTACAGACAGTTGGGAGTTGTCAGGTGTGTGCTGAGAAGTGAACCTGAGTTCTCCAGAAGAACAGCCAGTGCTCTCAACCACTGAGCCAGCTCCCCATCCCCTCAAACCCATCTCTTAAAAAGATGAAAGACTGTAGCTGTGTAACAGCACTGCGGTTCTCTGTTTTTCTCTCTCTAGACGAAGAGCTACTGGATGTCTCTGCATCTGTCTTACCGGAATGGAAGAAAGAAACATATGGCCAGATTCGAGTGTGTGCAAAACAGAAGCTGGCTCGGTATGGTTCCTTTAACACGGTTCAGTCGGCTGAGAAGACAGAGAGGAAAGTGAACTCAGAGCCCAGTAGCCCACAGGGAGGAAAACAAGGTACCTGCCCTTGCTTAGCCTTTGGAGTTCATCAGTTGCCATGAAATAGCAGCCCTGGTGATACGCAGGCATTTTCAAATGATCTCTCCAGACCATGCCAGCTTTTTCAACAGCCAACTTTTCCCTAGCCTGAAGTCAAACAATTATTGGCTGCAAAAGAGATGCTGACTCCACAGTATGTGAGCATAGCCCCATGCCTGAGATTGATCCAGTCTGCCTCGATCAATGGGTTTGCCATGCCCAGCCTCTTTGCTATATCACTGAAATTTGTAATTGGGGAAGCAGCGCTTGTTTTCTTCTCTTGCCTATTCTTAGTGAGACCTGAAATCATCATTAATAGCTAATTTCTGGAAATTTCCCTTTTTGAAGCAAAACCATAACAGATTTGAAGCAGTCTTCACAACCCCTAAGCCTGGAGGAATATTCTGTTTTATGTGTCTACTCGTGTAAGATCCCACCACATTTGTTAACCTTGACCTTCCCTTTCCAGGGTCAGCCTATTCCCTAGAAATTGGAAGTCTGGCAGCCATCTACAGACAGAAAGTAGAAGATAATTCACAGTAAGTAGTCTTTAAGAACCCAGGGTCAGGTCACGATGCTGTTCCTGGTGGAGATGGAGAGGTTGACAGCAATGGCTAGCAGACATATGAATGGTTGATAGATCCACTGTGGCCTTTAGACTTTCAGAGCTCAGTTTCTTGCTTAAGGAAGCTGTGGTTGGTGAGAAGCACTCATCTGTAAAACTGGCCCTGGGAAAGGAGGTCTCAGAGAGGCCCGCACAGCCTCTACTTCCCAGAGGTTAATCTAGTCCAGAACTTGAACTAAACAAATTCACATATTGAATATTCATATATATATATATGTCCCACACACAAAAAAATCTCATCATGGGGCTTAATTTTGAATGAGGACTGCCTTAGCATTCTTCATTACTACTGAGCAAATTGAGAGGAGAATAACAAAGGTCCAGCCCATTAGATAAGTTGACTTCCTCACTGCCCTCTTTCTTTCACACTGAATTATGGGTAAACTAGATTAGCTTTCCTTTCCATCAGTCTGACCCAGACTCCCCTCCCCAGACTAGACTGTCTCCTAGTAATGAGGAACCTGCCTTTGCCCTCAAACAGACCTGCAGTGAGATCCAGTTTCACGTCTTTAGAACTATAGTGAGTGATTAACTCTGAGCTTGGCTTGGGTTCTCTTCATCAGTAAATGGAAATACACAAAGCTATGACTATAGTGTTTTACTGTATGTCTGTTAAGGGCCAAGTGCTTGATCCTCAATATCCATCAGCTGTGGAAGAACCAGTGTCAGCCAGCGGTCTAAGAGCCCCGACAGCTCTTCTCACGTTGGCACCTCATGTTGTCCCTAGCTACCCACCAAGAATTCCATGGTCTGCCTCTGTGTGACCAGGGAAGACATTTGAATATTGTCTGAGCAGTCTTGCCTCAGTTCTCACTAGGAAAGTAGAGGTTCAGGGGCTGTGGTAGAGCTCAGTGACTTGTGGTACTCACTGTCTCTGTTTATTACAGGGGGGAAGCCTTTGCCAGTAAGAGCACGGTGACTCCACCAAGCAACTTGGACCCTGCCCTCCCTGCTGACTCAGAATACTGTGTCAAGCCTTTAGCCCACCCAGTATTTTCTGTTGCTCAAACAGATTTGCAGGCCTTCTCCACACAGAATGGTCTAAACAGACAAGTAGGTGGCCACCTTCCTTCTGCAACCTCAGATGCAGAGAGCTTGAAGCCAACCCTGCTTGCTGGCCAGCCCCTGGTGTATGTGCCTTCCTCCCTGATCATGCTGTGTGGGAGCCTGCAGGAGGGACTGTCCCCAGAGTCAAGATCAGAGGAGGACAGTAGCTCAGAAGTCCCAGCTGACCTGTCACTGGCACCCTCAGCTCAGAAGCGCCTGTGTGAGGAGAGGAATCCCCACGAGGAGGACGAGCCTGCCATGAAGAGACAAAGTCAGGAATTTGAAGATAGCCCCTTATCCCTAGTCATGCCCAAGGTAAGGGAGTGTGGATAAATGTGTCTGGTGCTATCTCATTGGCTCTGAGCTTAATAGAGACAGACGCTCCCAGGCAGTAGCCTCTGGACTAGAAGTATATTTCATGTGTTCCTCATATATGTAACAAAGCGCTAGACTGGCTTTCCCAAAAAGTCTCACCATAAAATAATATTGTAAGAAAAGTGACTTTTATTTTAACAAAATAAAAAAGTCACACTTCTTATAAACGCCAAAAAAGTCTACAGAAGACAAAAAGCTTGCCTGCTAATACAGGGTAGTAACTGTTGTTGGCGTGCTTGTATTATTTCTTCCCAGTGGTTTCCTTTTTCTTTTTATGAACTTAAAAAAAACAAGTTTGGAATCATAACAGTCATCATTTGGGCCCTGGAAATAGTGGGGTACCTGAGTCAGCTCTCTGCACTGCCCAGTGATCCTGGTTCCTTAGCTACAGAATAAAAAGGACAAAAAGATGAGCTGTCTGCCTTCTCCCATGTAGTAGCCAAGCAGAGGTAATGAGGTATGACCAGTAAGGCACAAAGAACCAGAGCGAGTTCCTCTCGGCAGTTTGCCATGGGTTGGCTAGGCACACATGCTGCATGGACACTATTGCATTAATTAAGAGCCTTCCCCTCTACCTTTCTTTCCCTTACCAAAATGGGTTTTTCTGGTTTCATATATAACTCAACATTGCAGATTAGAAGTGTAAGAAGGGGGTAGAGTTGATACTAGCAGGTAGAGGAGAGAGTAACCAGAATTCATTATATACCTGTGTGAAATTGTCGAAGAAGTAACTTAGCAAAAAAGTACATCAAATTTTAATTTGAAAACTAAAGGAGAAAAAAAACCTGGAAGACTGACAAGCACATGTCTTGGACAAGGCAGCTCTGGGCCATCCTACACAGGTCTCAAAAGCCTCTAAAACAGTGGTGCTCAACCTTCCTGTTGCCGTGTTGTGGTGACCCTCCCTCCCCCAACCATAAAATTCTTTTCATTGCTACTACATAACTGTAATTTTGCTACTGTTACGGGTTGTAGTGTAAATATCTGACATGCAGGACATATTACCATTGTTACAAATTGACCCACAGGTCACAACCCACAGGTTGATCACCACTGACCTAAAAGTGCAGCTCCAACCAACACTCCTTATGGGTCATCAGCACAGAAGTGTTTCCTTCATAGGCTGAATGCTGTAGCTACATTGACATTGCTGTAGTCTCTACCATATTTGTACTTGGAAGTCATAATAAGCCTATACATACACATCCATTTCTATACTGCACCTATAAATAGAATAAAAACTGGCTGAGCGATGGTAGCACATACCTTTAATCCCAGCACTCAGGAGGCAGAGGCAGGTGGATTCCTGAATTTGAGGCCAGCCTGGTCTACAGAACTAGTTCCAGAACAGCTACACAGAGAAACCCTGTCTCAAAACAAAAACACAAAACTGAGTCATTAATTCAAGTGAGACCACTGTTCTCTCCTCTACATGCTAGATATTTTAAGAGAACTCTTCTAAAATGGAAATTTAGTAGAAATCTTGTAGAATTTTGACCTGGTTTCTCTGCTCTCCGGTTTGTTTGTCCTTAGAGACCCTCAAATTCCACAGCCATTGCCTCTCCTGTGACCACGGGAGACGGGAGATCTACACCCGTGGAAGACGCCTGTGTGAAGGGTCAGCTCCCGGCTGCCGAAGACGTTTCAGGAAAGGCTGTAGCAAACTGCTGCTTCATTGCTTCTGAGTGTGGAAACACATCGAGAAACCCAGACACTGAAAAGCCTTCAAAGGAAAACGAAATCACCAAAGACCCCTCCCTGCTGCAGTATCTGTACGTGCAGTCTCCAGCAGGTAAGGGATTCCTCGTGGCCTTCACACCATGCACTTCCAGCCTTGCCTTGCCACCTGACTAGAGAGAGCAGTTCATTGTCGTGGTGTGGCGCCTGTCTCACTCCCAGCCACCACAAACAAAGGCTGAGACTCCTGTCCTCTGTTCCACAGCTACAGGAGTAATAGGATACAGTTTTAATGTGTAACACATTATTTGATGAAGAAACTGCCCATCTACAAGACAAGTTTATTTTTTAATTCAAGCAACGCTGGTTCAGAATCCTTGTATGAGAGTGTTGGCAACTGTGCACAGCTAGCATTCTGATTTTCAGTGAGAGAAGCACCAAGTGCTTCATCGCAGTCCCCACCAAGAGGGCTTGATTTAAAGCCACTTACTACTTGCGTCAACTTAAAGCAAGCACTCAGATATTCTCATTAGTAGAAGAACAGCCGTAACACCTACTTCTCTGGAGTGCTGAGAAAACCAAACCAGATGTAAGGAGTCTGGAGGACCTAGGGTGACAGTGCCAGCACTTACTAAGTCTCAGTAGATCATGTTGTTATTCTGAATACACTGAATTAGAGTGAACAGCTGTTAAGGTATGTCCCATGTACGTAAAGCTGTTCTTGACGCAAAGATATCATATTAGTTACTTTTCTGAGTTAGAAGGAAATACTTGAGGACAAGTTAAAGAAGGGGAGGTTTATTTTGGCTTGTGGTTTGGGAAGGCATGGCCAAAGAAGCACCAAGTGGCTGGTTATATTGTGCCTGCTGCAGGCAAGACCCAGAGAGGTGATCACTTCGGCAGCACATATACTAAAATTGTCATGACACACAGACAGTTAGCACAGCCTCTGTGCAAGGATGACATGCAAATCTGTGAAGCATTCCAAAATTGCATTATTCCCCTTCATTTTGGATGGGGTGCAGTTCCCTCTAAAACCCCTCAACAAGAGGATGCAGAGACAGTTCAGTGAGTAAGGGGCCTGCTGAGCCAGCATGAACACTCAGTTCAAATCCCCAGAACCCATGTAAAGCTGGGCATGGTAGTTCATACTTCATATTCCCCGCACGCCTGTGGAGAAAGGGGAAACTGAGGCAGGAGAATCCCCAGAAGCTCTCAGGACAGCTAGCCTGGTCTGTGCGATGGTAAAGAGTAGACGGTAGACCCAACCCCAAAGTTTTCCTCTCATGACCACAGCTGCCTAATTTCACACATGCATCCACAGAGAAAGAAATGAAAAAGACTTCTCCACAGGCGTTGACCACAAGGCCCTGCAGGTGAAGGTTGACTTGCAGTCTCACTGCCGATGTGATGTAGCCATGTCAGCTGGAAGAGCACAGCAAGGATGATCACCCTCACCAGAGAGAGAGCTCACCATCAGTGATGTATCATGGACTCCCATGGAGGAGCCATGAGGGCTGTGAACACGAAGAGGGTCTCGTATTGTGGTTTTCACTCTGCTCTCCTTCTGTTTCAGGGTTAAATGGTTTCAACATGCTCTTACCCGGTGGTCAAACCCCACATGCCATGGGGCCGTCCTCGGGTCAGCTGCCATCCTTTGGCGTCCCGTGCATGTTCTTGCCATCTCCAAGCCTGGCCCCCTTCCCAGTTCTGTATTCTCCTGCAATACCTGGGCCCATCTCTTCAGCTCCTGGCGCGCTCCCAAACACCGGACCCATGAATTTCGGCTTGTCTGCCCTGGGATCTACGGCTCACCTCCTCCTGAGCCCTGCAGCTATGGTCAATCCGAAGTCATCCACCATCCCTTCCACAGATCCTCAGTGTCAGCCCTCACTAAACCTGAGTCCAGGGATGCCAAGCTCACACGGTGCCATCCACCCCGAGTCCCCCGGTTACATGAGACATCCGGTATCAATGGTAAAAGTAGAACAGGTGAGACCCGCGGCTTGGTCACTCCATGATGCCTGCATTGTTAGCTTTCTCCTCGCTCACTTGACTAGTAATACAGAAGGATTACATCAGGTCCTACCTGGTTTTCAGTGTGAACCATGTTATCTGCTTATTCCACAGAGCACAGGGCACCAAAGCAAGAGACATCATGCTTTTAACACAAATCTTTTCGGTTGCCATCCTACTTCCCAAGGGTAGAAGGGACCTTATTAGGCATAGTTGTAGGAGGTCTCCACACTTGCACTGTCTCCCTGACCTGGCAATCTTCTCTTTGGGCTGTTTGAGGAAAACATTGTAAATTTAATGATAGAGCTGCCTGACAGCTCGGTTCTAACTTGGATACTTCCCACTGCCAATCATTTCTTGAAACATGCCCCGTGTACAATCAGTGACCACATAGTCAGTACTGCGTTTGTATAGTCCAGTCAGTAAAAACCTGTTCCACTCTTTTAAGACACTGTTCAGAGTCACTAATTACTCTCAAGGAACATCATTCTGTGTGACCAAAACTAGTCTGAGGTGAGCTATTCAGAGGTTCAGAAGTCTGCTGGGTATGTGAATAATAACATCTCTTTTCAGACACGATTTTGTTTTGGTTCAGTATTTACAGCACTGAGAGTCAAGCCTAGGGCCGCACACATGCTGGGCAAATGCTCTGCCTATGACGCATGTCCCTTACCCCAACATAAGCTTTTTTATTATGTATACAGTGTTCTGCCTGCATGTATGCCTGCAGGCCAGAAGAGGGCACCAAATCCCATTACAGATGGTTGTGAGCCACCATGTGGTTGCATGGGAATTGAACTCAGGACCTTTAGAACAGCAGCCAGTGCTCTTAACAGCTGAACCATCTCTCCTTCAACACCAACATACACTTTTTTTTTTTTTTAAGAAGTAACGTTTTTATTAAATCTTTGAGAATTTCATGCAATCTATTTTGATCTCCTTCTCCCGACTCCTCCCTGTCTCCTCCTCTCTCCCTCCCCATCCAACTTGGTTTTCTCTCCCCTGGGTCTTTCTAAACTCACTGAGTCCACTTTGTGGTGGCCCACCCTTTCTGGGCATGGGGCTGTCCCAGGTGTGGTCAGTGTAGCTGGTGTCACTACAGTAAAGAGTATTAACATTACATTGACGCTCCCACTCATGGCAGCTGACAGGTAGATGCCAGGAACTCCTCAGCTCATAGTGGGATACTGTGCCCACCTCTCTCTGGTGCTGGGATCTTTTTTTTTTTTAATAAAACTATAATATATGTTATGTATTCATATGTATATATATGAAATTTACTCACTCCCTATAATGCTACTTGTGTATATGATTTCAGACCTGACCACTTGGTCTTGGATAACCACTTTGGATGCTCTTCCCTGAGAGAGACTATTGTGTAGTCTCACTCTCATCCTCTGTAGCTACCTAGAGCTCTGTGTCTCGTGTTGAGGTCCCATGACGTAAATTTTCCTCCAGCTTGCATTTGCACAGATCTTGTGCATGCTGTCACACTGTGTGCATCTCTCCCATCAGCATAATGCCTTCTGATTACTAGTTATGAACCAGGCGCTGATCTGGGCAGTGTAGACAGAATTAGCAGACTCCTGTTCCCTTCCATTTTAGGACACTAGAGAGCATATTAGCAGAAAGGACCACAGACACACAGTAGGTTTGCTTTGCATCTTCTACAGTTCTCTACCAAGAGTTTCTCACTTAATTCTTCTAGTCCTGTGAAGCTGGTTTCATCCCTGGTGGGGATGCAGCAACTGAGGGACACAGAGGTAAAATAATTTGTCCAATATCACACAGCTAAGTGATGGCAGAGCCCAGGCCCTGGCTCGAGACTTTGGCCACATCTGTAACGTTTCTGGTTCAGTTGTGCTCACGCATTGTGCTAAGGGTTGGATGGGTGGGGAGCATGCAGTGGGCAAGTAGAGCTGAAGGGAAGGCAGCCTAGTGACACCCAGCAGGAAAAGATTCCCATCTTGGAGCTTGAAACATCATTTCACTTCTGCTTCTGCTCTTTCTGTCCAGTCACCTGCACCAGCGACTCCCAAGAGCATCCACCGAAGACACCGGGAGACATTTTTCAAGACCCCTGGCAGTCTTGGAGACCCCGTTTTCAGGAGAAGAGAAAGGAACCAATCACGAAACACTAGCTCAGCCCAGAGACGGCTAGAAATCTCAAGCAGTGGACCTGACTAACCTGGTGCTTCAGCGGATGGAGTGATCTCAGCACCTGAAGGTCCCTGTGTCCCAGACAATGTCCTAAAGTGGAGCACAGGCCATCCCGGTCCTCAGCTTGTGTCCTTGCTCTCTGGCATCCACTGGTTCTGCTAACTTCCCAATATCATGAGTCAGCTATTTTCCTGAAAGTAATTATTACTAATTATGAATTTAATACCAGCTAGAGTTGGGGCTCTGCATGTCACAGCGGCAGTACTGACCAACTGGTGTGGTCTGGTTAAGAATCATCTGAGTGCTGGAAGTCAGTCCTGACAGGCTGCTGGAGCCTTGTGGTTTTTCTGAAGTGGAGGGCTGTCTAGCACTTAACCAGGGCGAGCATTGGTGATGCTCATTGCCGCCTGCCCTGAGTGCATCTGTGTGAGAACTTCCTCTGCAGCCTAAACACGCTACTGCTTCCTCAGGCTCCAGGAAGCCACCTTCAGTTACAAACCCTACGGTATTATTTATTTTGTTCCTGAAGCGGGACTTCACTGCACAAAGTTTACAACATCTGTTCTGACACACATTTTTCAGGGTATCGCGACTTGAATGTTTAAGACTTTCTTTGTATAATTTGCCCTGCACTTATTCTACAGCCTATTAATAATGTGGATAAATGTATATACGTGACAAATGTCAAGACCAAAATAACTGTGAATGCTACACTCAGCTATTGATGAACTATGTGCTTGACCCATCTGTGGGCATGGGAGTGAAAACTGAAACCTAGGTGCCTTGTAGCCGTTTCTCCGGTAACTATCAAGCAGTGAGGTTTTACTGTTTGTTAAAAACAAAACAAAAACCTACTGTGCTCAGCTTCCTTTGCTCCAGGCCCCTGTGTTTTTTAACTTAAACATTCACCGTACAGTGTCAAGTGTGCACGCCTTCTCACAAATGCCATTTGTAACAAGCTGAATCAGAGCAACAGGAAAGATAGAGAGCATTAGAACCTGGATGAGAGCTTTGGATGAATCATGAAGCATAATGATAACAGAAACAGAGAGCAATAGCTAATTCTTTCATTTTTCGTTTACTTATTTTCCTCTGGGAGATGAGGGAGATGGGCACAGCCTGTGCATTTCTAAGAGTGATCATGAGTTTCTTGGTCCAGGGAAGGAACAGCGGGCACAGGGGCTGGTTGTCCTAACAAATACAGTTCTAGAAACTGTTGTACATCTCCCTTTGTGAGCCTCGTTGCTTCAGGGGTCTACATTGATAGAGTGTTTACCTCAATCTTGTCTCTTCACAGTAAACCTCTCTCCCTTTCCTCCTTCCCTTTTTCCTCTTTTCTTCCTGTGGTCTTTTTTTCTCTTTAGACGGCTTAGATCTAGAGTCTTAATATAAGGCTACATTTTCTCTGTATTTCTGTGCCCTGTGAAATACCATATAAAAGAATAAAAAATATTAATTTAAGAGACTCTGGGAGTCTGATCAAAGTAGCTTTTTATATGAAGTACAGGACACCTTTTAATCTTGCTACCCTAACAACAGCTTTTGAAAACTTGAGATGAGTGGCCAGATTTAATATGTTGGCTACTTATCTAAATGTTTATCAACACTAAGCTTCTAAAGTTGCAATATGGCATTGTTCCCCTTGTTAAAAGTTTTTTTGTTTTTTATGAGTTAGGTAAAAATTGCATGGTGATGCTGTCTCTGAAGCACACTGCTGGTTCCTTTCTGGAACATGAAAATCACTCTTTTTCAGTAGTTTATCAGACATGCCGAAATTGAGTCTGCTGGAGTCACTTGCATTTAAAATCTGCAAGAAGTCCGCATTTCCATAGAAACACAAACCTCTTTCCTTGTTCCTGGGTAATGTTCATTTACTCTAACTTTTTTGTTGTTCTATATTATTAGAGTCTTTGCTCTGTTTGTGAACGGACCACATTAACCTCAGAGAATTTGTGATTCTTAGGAAGGTGTTAAGAAGCAATTTCATCAGTGGAAAACACAGTTACTTCTGTATGAGGGTCCCTCATGGTGTGGCTTTTGACTCTTCCAGAAGCCCGGTGCCCTTTAATCATGCACAGCTAGACTTGAGTACCAGGGGGGGAGAAGCAGTGGTACTCTAGAGTCTATCACAGAAATAACTGCTAGTGATCCTTCGGAGGACATGAGTCCTGAGTCGGCACTGAGGGGGTGTGCTGCCTTGAGCCACGCTGTCCAGGGTTTGTGAAACCCTTGCGTTCTGGTACAAGAGTTTGGGGTATAACTTTATACTTGAACCTACCTACCAAGTTTACATTGCTCAATGTAAGGTGCTATTTCTGTATTTAAATAACTTGGATGTAAAGCTGCTTTCTGCTTACCTTATTGCACTGCTAGCTTTTTGTAGACGTTAACTTTATTGCTGCTTACTGCTTTGTTTTCATGGGTTTTGGCTCTGTTCTTTCCTAATGGCTGTATTATCTGTAGCCAACTACTTGCAACTTTACTACATGTAAACCAATCTTCCCTTTTAGAAAAATACTAAGCTTTATAAAGTAGCAATGAAAATAAAGGCATTTAGTAAGAAATGTTAGCTATATTACTTTTTTTTAAACATCTTCGTTTAGTGTGTGTGTGTGTGTGTGTGTGTGTGTGTTGAGGGTAGTAGGAGTCAGTTCTCCCCTAAATTTTGGGTCCTGGGGATCAAATCAACTGGTTAGGCTTAGTGGCAAGCACCTTTGCCTGCCGAGCCATCTCACAGGCCCTGTATATTTCCTGGTGGCTTTTCTTTGCTACCATTTATTGTACAATTGTTAAGAGCTACGACAGCCACATAGACACGTCCTGCAGTTCTCACACTCCAAAAAGTACTGCATCAGGCTGAACTGAGAGCTTGAGAGGGTTAGGACCATGCTGTTGGCCTTGTTTCTGCTGTATCCATCTGGAAGTTTGGAACTTCCAGACTAAACTAACATTCAGTCACTAATGAGACCACATTCCCAGCCCCTGGTATCCATGAGATCAACAGCTTGTTGGTCTAACACATGCTTGCTTCTATACATGCCAAAGTCTGCTGTTAGCATGGATTCCACCTAGCTCTCTAGACTCAGACGGTGTGGTCCATGGCGCATAGGTTTCAGTTCTACCACATTGTTAGGTGGGACAGGCAGATATTTGAGCTGGTGTGGTTTAAAAGAAAATGGCTCCCAAAGGGAGAGGCACTATTAGGAGGTGTGGTCTTGCTGGAGGAAGTGTGCCACTGAGGAAGCAGGCTTTGAGGTCTCATATATGCTCAAGCCACACCCAGTGTGTCAGTCCACTTCCTGTTGCCTGCAAGCCAAGATGTAGGGCACTCAGTTACTTCTCCAGCATCATGTCTGCCTACATGCCACCATGTCCTACCATGATAATAATGGATTGAACCTCTGACACTGTAAACCAGCCATCTCAATTAAATATTTTCCATTATGTGAGTTGCTGTGGTCATGGCGTGTCTTCGCAGCAATAGAAACCCTAAGACAGCTGGTTTACATGGAAGGGGCTTGTGTCTGAACATCTATGACAGGGAATGCATTTTCTTCTCCACACTGTTCCTCCCATAGCCCCAGGTTTCTACATTAACCAGCCTCAGGCTGACCATGTCATATCCACCTTAGCTCACAGCCAGTATCCTTTCTACTGACTAAGAAGACCCAACCAAACTCTATCCTGGTCACCCATCTCCCCAGGCAAGCCAGTCACCAGTATCAGCTTCCTGCTTCAAGAAGGGCTGGAGGCAAACAACAGGGAACACCTGCAGGCAAGCAGAACTGATGCCCTCACTAAATCTACTTCCAATTTCACTTCGTCAAGCTTTTCATAACCTTGAGGGTGAGGAGACTCAATAGTGTGTTATTCATGTTTTGCAAAACCTCCATCATTTCTGCAGAGCCCACTGACATACAGCATGTGTTGTAATTGGTGCTGCAGCCACACTTTAATATCCTGTTACAATAGCCTTCTGTCATTCCGGATGCCCACGACGGTAGAGGACCACTGAAGCAGTTAATATTTCATACTTATCAAAGTCATTCTGGTAGTTAATTTCTTCTGGTGTTAAGGTTGGACTGATTCTGTCTTTTATGACCTAAATACTTCCAAATTTAGGAAATCATACCAAAAAACTAAAAATGCCTTCCATATTCTCCCACATCCAAATCCATTGCTTTGTGTAGCCCACTGGCAACCTTTCTTGTCAGTGGCTCTTGTAAACAAGGGCTCTAAAGGGCTTGGGTGTTAATGGGTATTAAGAACGAAAAGTGGGCCGGGCAGTAGTGGTGCACGCCTTTAATCCCAACACTTGGGAGGCAGAGGCAGGTGAATCTCTGTGAGTTTGAGGCCCACCTGGTCTCCAGAGCAAGTGCCATGATAGGCTCCAAAGCTACACAGAGAAACCCAATTACCTAAAATTGTATCACATGGCCTTTTCTTTTTAATTCAGAAAATGGGCTCCGCAGTATAAGTGATGTTTATAAAATGAAGTTGGTCATGAAAGTCTTCCCTTTAACTCTCGGCTGAGTCCTGGACATCATTCTGTAACTCACTGGCTCCTGCCCCCAGTCTGACACAGCTTCCTACTTGCCTCACCAGCCGTGCAAGTTACCTTCTACTGACGGCCGACGTTCGTTTCCATTCCCCCTCTATTTCTTATCCCAGGCACTGAAAACCTGGCAACTATATTTCCAAGACTCTGCCGCTGCCAGGTCTCTGAAATGATTTTGACTGATTTTGACAGATCCACTCATCACACAAGACTGGGAGACAGAAGGGACACCTTGGCTGTTCCTCTCACAGCAGAAGCAGCTCAAGCTGCAGGGATTTGAACAAAAAGACATTTAAAAGGAGCAAAGTGATCGGTTGATGCTCACAACGAACATCTGCTTTTATGTAGTGATCTATGGGAGAAACCAGCAAGGGCTTAATCAGAGTTGATATAGCTTATCGTGGTAACTGAAGTTTGAACTGTGATCCTGAAAAACAGATGGTGTCTAACTATGCTGTGATGCTGGTGTGCCTGTGTATCACGTATTCTGTGACTGGAATTAATTTTCTATTTCAAGCCCGCATTTTATTTGAAGACTCGTTAATTGAGGGTCTCGGTCAGCGTGGTCCTTACTCTCACACTCTGCCATTGCAAGAGCAACTGGGAGACTTTCAGTGCAAGTATTCCTAATCGTAACTTAAACAGACTCAAACAATGACAGTCATAGTAAAGGCCTGAGGTAGGAGGGGCCAGATCATTTCCAACAACTCCTTCCGGCTTGTTCCAAAGATTCCTTCCTGCTTCCCTTGCTTGCTCCCTGCATCCAGGATATCTGACAGGCCACAGCAGGTACAGCCCCACACAAGCCAAGTTCAGCTGAAAAGAAACTACAACTGTTTGAAATTTCTTCCACTTTGGATTTCTCAGGAAGTCTCTCCTTAGCTCTTCCAAATCCAGACTGGCATATGCATCTTCTATAGCTTAAATATAGCTTCCCCTTTCACAGGCCCCACGCCTAGAGCTACAGGCAGTTAGCAACTGCAGAAAGAAAGACAACAAGTCCTCCCAGGGAGGAGTCCCCTAATTATATACCCAATGCCGAGTAGTCAGCCCTAAAACATACATATAAGCAACATTAAATGGTTGTATTTATATATCATGTTGTTATATAACATTAATAATGAAACAAAACTGCCATGAACTTGAAAAGGAGGGTGCTAAGAGGGCCTGGGAGGTTTGGAGGAAGAAAGGGGCAATGGTGCAATTATATTCTAATTAAAAATAAAATGAAATTAAAAATACATATAGTTTTCCCCAAGGTCCATGTGTTAACCTCTTGATGCTAAGGGCAGCACCACTGGTACATGGTGCCATCTTTGGGAGGTATGACCTAGTGGGAGATCCTTGTGTCATTGGAGGCTACGTCCTTGAAAGGATAAGTCCCTGGCTACCAATTCTTTCCCTGTGATTCATAGCTTGCATTGTGACCTTTTTCTTAGACACATACTCCTACCAACAACCATATACTACCCTCACCAACAGTGAGCCAATGTAGGCACTATGCCTTTGGATCTATAAAACTATTAGCTCAATAAACATTTTGCATTTATAAGTTAGCTACCTTCAGTGTTTTATCACAGTAATGAATAGCTGACTAAAACACTCACTTTGGACCAGTTAGGTCTAGACAAGATTATCTTTCCTATTGAATAAAACTGCTCATGGGACAGAAGCATATGGGCTCTGTAAAGGGAGATTGACCCCTGAACAAAACTCAGTCTCAGTTAAAACAGAAAATGCAGAAACTTGATGCTGGCCATCCATAGTGGTTTCACTCTCTCCCTAATCCTTTCACGACTGGACATCAAACCACAAGAAGAGATAACCAGGTCGTCAGTCCCTACCCTTATAAACTGCCATCAACCAAGATATACATTCCCTTCCGTGCTCAGGTCCTTGTTATCCCTTCTGACATCACTGTGAGTTTCTTGGATACCATGACCAACTCCATGAAACACCTGGGGACTTCTTCATATAGACAGACCCAGGGCTTCCCCAAGCTTCCTTTCTCCCAGTCACCTTCTCCAGCACTGGTGTCCCCTAAGAAAATAATGGCTTCACACACAGACCAGGGTTCCAAGACTTGTGAATCTGCCTCTGGGATTTTCAGCCACAAAAATTATTTTAGGTGAGAAGTCCCATGATTCCATGACCTGCAAAGTCTGCCCTTTGGGGCTGCATCAATAAAACTTCAACTTGGCATGTAAAAGCTATTGGCATTTTTCAATCTACAAGGCCGTTTTGGTCAAGTGATTCAAACATTTCAAGGGCATACATCTCAGAGAAGCATACACAAACTAATACACAAAGACGTTTATTGTAAACCCATGAAAACAAAATTGAAAGTCTCAATGACATATATAAATTGGATCTACTCACTATAATGTACTGCTGCTGAATTAATGAAATCTCTTAGGTTTATACATGGCAATGCAATACGGACACATATGAAAATATCTAATGTGGAGTGGGCATGGAAATGATACAGATCAGATTTTACAACATTTCAAATGTAAAGTACTTTTGCAGCAAATATATAAAAGGATACTGCACGTACCCGCCATCCTGACAACAATAGGTTATTTCCAGACAGGAAGAGCATGTCAGGGGAGAGGCTACTGATATTCAACTGTGTCTGAGAGATCCTGTTTCTGTTAAAAGGAACTGACGTCAGTTTGGCAAACAGCAGCCGTCATCCCTGAATAAGCAAATACCTGTGTCCGTACTTTTCTGTGTGATGAAGTCTTTTATAAAAATCACAATCTTTAATGTATAGTTTTAGGACATGATAACCATTTGTTGACTGTGGGGCTCCTACATTTGGGCTTTTCAAGGAGCCGTAGGTTATCGGGTTAGTCCAAATATCTCCTGCAGCTTCCTGTGGGAAGTTTGTACACCCTCTCACACAGAGCTCTGAGAGGCCACAACTTACTTGTTCCCCAGAAATATGGGAGGAAGTGGTATGTGTACCTTGGGAGAAGAAGTTCTGAGATAGTGTTCATGGCT